AAGTTTGACCCAACAGAGTCAAACTGGGAAGATTTTAGTGTTATATGTTTTTTTCATTGAGAACATTTTAAGATTCGTCGTTGTTAATGGAGCGACGTCTTTAGTTTGTCATATCAGAACGAAAATATATTGGAGTGACGCTTCGAGGAAATCTTGGATAGGAACAAAAAGCTTCCCCATATCCGTCGTTGTGGAGCATCGAGTGACCAAGAGGACGGAGATGCAGTCGGTAGCAAGGAGGTCAGTCGGAACTCGAATGTGCAATTAGGGCATCTCCAACAAGCACCAACTTCTACACCAAAATGGTGCATTTGTCAAAAAAATGCTTCAATAGCCACACCATTTCACCATTTTGGTGGAGTGACTTTGGCTTTACGCCATATATGGCGTACACCAAATCCAACACCATCTTCTTTTTCTATTTTTTTTTATTTCAAATGTAACCCAAAGTTTTGATTATTATAGTTTTGACCCATTTTTAAAACAACAAATTAGGATGTTTTTACTTGGACTAAAATTTGTTGGTCTGATCTGTTCGGATTTGGTCTGGTTTGTTCTGAACTGATTTGGTCTGGTCTGATTTCTTTGTATTTTTATAACTATTCAAGTCTGGTCTAATCCGGTCTGATCTGATCTGAGACAAATTACAGTCCAAGTAAAAACATTTATATAGAACAACAAATTAAAATTATTAATTTGATAGAAAATAACAAAAATATAATAAAATTTAAATCGCACAATATTATAAATAAAGTTTCAAATCGAAACAACATAATAACAGAATACAAATGATACTTAAGAAAATAACATAATTAAAGTTACAATTAATAACACCATTATAATTAGTGAAATATTGATTATTGTATTTTAATTAGTGAAATGCGTGAAAATACATGTTAAAATGGTGTATTTTAGTTTGTATGTGTGAAATAATGTGTGAAATGTCAAAATATTAAATGAGGGGCTAATGTATAAATATATGATAATTAGATACTTAAATAGAAGAATGGTAAATAGTTAGTAAAAAGAATAAAAAGAGAATATTCTTTTGTGGTGATGAAAATGGTGTAAACTGTTGGGGATAAAAAACTGTTTGATGTGATGTTTACACCATTTTAGTGTAAAAAATGGTGTAAACTGTTGGAGATGGCCTTACGGCGATGGAGTGTTTGGAAATGGAAGTGTTAGTAAGGTTTAGCAGGGTCTCGAAGGGAAGGGAAGTGTAAGTGTTAGAGTCAATTTTACCTTGTTTGGGAGAATCAAATGAATGAAGTGTTAATAATAGAAGTGTTTTAACTTAAATTGACAAAAAAATCCTTTAAATGAGAAGGGTAATGGTTGTCCAACACCTCAAAACACCTCAATAATGGAAGTGTTTTAACATAAATTGACAAAAATTATGTTTTTAGGGTAAATGAGAAGGGTAATGATTGTCCAACACCTCAAAACACTCCAAATTGGGATGATAAAAAAGTGGACAATTGAAGTGTTTACACGGGCCGATGATTAGATGGGTTGAATTTAATATGCACAATCCAATTATTATTATATTGTTGGGGTTATTGGTTTGGAAGTGAAGGGTTTCACCTAATATATGTTCGTATACTTCGTAATAGTTCGATGGAGTTCCTTAAAAAGGTTTTTATATCACATCTCCTAAGTCCGAAGAATATCTTATGCTTACTTTCATCAATAGATTTCATTTATTGAGAATCGAATCCACTATAATTTAGAATATATAGTTCCATTTTTATTACCTTATTTGTATACTCAAAACTACCAAATCCAAACATATATGTGTCTCAGCATGGCCATGGCATATGCATGCTATTTCACTATTTTCACTTTATTTGAAATAATTTTATTATATTATGAACATATTTTTAATAAACAAATAGTATAAAATACAAATATATTAATGTCCCGTGCATCGCACCAGTATAATACTAGTTTATTGAAAGCTGGTAAAATAATATTCATAATAGGATAATCAAGTGTTTCTAGAAAATATCACAAAGAAAAAATGATGCCATACTAAAACAAAGGCCACACTCAGTGGCGGAACGGGGGAAGCCGGTGTCGCCCCCCCGTTATCCGGCGGCGGTGGTGTATATATATGTAGGTATATATCTCAGCCCCTGTTGATCAAAAGTGTATATTACCGCCCCGGCGCCATATTTTAGACAATGAGTATTGTGGTTCACTTGGATGTTAAGCTGCGCAGGACGTGTCTCTTCTCTCATGTCAGCCTGTCAGGGGTTTGAACCCCCACCCATTTTATTTTTCCTCCTCTTGCCTTCACTTTTCTTAGTTTTGTACTTGACTCCACCGTTCATATTTAGACATACTAGTGTGTGTACCCGTGCAACGCACGGTAATTTTATTTGCTTGTACATATGTTATAAATTGATAAAATAGGATAGATGTAAAATTATAACTTTTTCCGATCCATTTTGTTTGCATATCATGTGGTGTTAATTTTACGCATAAATGCAACATATCAATTTTTCCAATTGATTTTGTAGGATATTTTATTTTTGACGTGTAAAAAAGTGATCATTTTGTAAATCAATTATAATGAACTTCTTCTTTTCTAACTTTATAATTGTCTCCATCACTGGATTAAATTTTAAAATGTAATTTGAGATACATTTGTTTTCTTCTTTTGTGAGGGTTTGTATGGTCCAAGGCTTGTTTTCATATTTTTTTAACTCAACTTAATTTTCTTGACACTGTATGGTGAGTTCTGTAGCCAGTCAAAATAAGTACTCCGTAATAACCCTCCGTATAAATTATGTGATGGTTGAATTTATGACATAATGAGATAGTAAACTACTCCGTAAGTCCGTATTTTTATTTTTTAGCATATATTGAGGTCGTGTGGTATGGTTTTGTGGTTGTTTAAATTTCCATTTTGTTTAATTGTTTAGAGCTCATTTGGTAACACTAAAATCAGCCGAATCTACTGATTTTCCTAAAATTTATGAAGTTCTGGGCCTCTGGCTGAAGTGGTTGTGTTGGCTGATTATGTTGATTTATGAAAAATTAATTTTAAAATATATTTTATTACTAAAATAAAGAAAAAAGAAAAAATTGTACTTCGTAAGAAAGAATGAATAACTAAAATGATCATCCACAATAGGTTCATCCATTACAGCATAAAAGTAACCTCAATCATCCTTTATTATTATTATTACACAATTCAGTGTGTGAATTCAAAATTTACGTATTTGGTTAAAAAATTGTCTTGTGAGCCTGATAAGCTGAAAAAAGAGCCACCAAACAGGCTCTTAGTAATAATGATAAACTTGGAGTATTTTTTAAGGAACAAATACGTAGTTAGTAATCATAGTTTCTAATCCCATTTACCCTATTCAAGTGTGGTCAGATCTGATTTGTTAAATTTGGCCTAATCTAACTTGTTAGTTTGATATGTGTTTTTAGAGTTTGTATTATTTTTAGTCCTTTGACTATTAACTTATTAAGTGAATGACATTTTTTGTACTTCATTTTCATTTTGTTTTAATTCTTTTACTATTATGCGAAAGACACTTTTTGTACATACCTTTGTAATTTACGATATTTACTCATCATTTTTCTTTATATACAAAAGTTACGCTTTTGTTCTCCAACTATTATCTTAGTTTCATTTGTTGTTTTCCACAACTAAATTCTAGTTAAAGACTTAAAGGACTAAAAATACCAATTTGACAATAATAATGGGATTGTTTGTGAGTAAATTTTTATAGTTAAAATCAAAATTGTCTCCATCATAATTATCAAAGGAGTCAAATAAAAAATAACATTATAAGACTTCTATAACAAAAAAAAACTCAACAATTGATATACTACCAAACGTAAAATTTAGAAGTAAGGTTACCAAACGTAAAATTGTTTTCAGTTATGAGCCTTTTCTTTTTCATTGGAAATCGAAAGGTTTGATGCAAGACGTTTGCTTAACTTATTTAAGATGCCAGTTTAATTTGATGTTCAAATTGTAATAATTGCCACATGTCAAGTTTCTTAGAAAGAGTTTTGCCACATGTCAAGTTTTCTAGGAAGAGTTTTGCCACATGTCAAAATTCCTCTAAAGGATTCTTTAGGAGTTTGCTTTATTATATTATATAGATATGCCATATGTCTACTAATCTTGTTCAATTAAATCACTATTTGACATGATGTTGCTTAAATCAAACTCTTTTAAATTTTTATATATTTTATTTTACATTCTTATTTTTTAAACAGAAATTATTCCATTTGCCAAAACAAAAACAAATTACTCCAGTTGGGAAATTGTTTAAAAAGGACTAAAAACGTTTGTATATTTCAAAATAGGATTGTCATGTTTTTATTCCCTAAATAAGAGTAATTATTGTCATGTTTTTACAGTATCAGGCCTTAAACATGACAGTATTTTCCAAACTTGACAATAATTACTCCCATTTAGATAATAAAAACATGACATTTTATCAGAAACATGGTGATAATTTGATAAATAAATCAAAGTTTCACCTCATTGTGAAAAAGTGAAAAACAAATACGTCATCTGTTCTTTATTAGTTGCAATGCTTTCATTTTCATGTTTGTCAACGCACAATGTCGACCAAAAAGTTTATTAATTCCCTGATTGTCATAGTTTTAAAAATTAACATTTTGAAAATTTAAAGTGAGAACAAGTTAATTATATTTTGTAAATTTTTTATGTATTCGTAAATAAAATATAGTCAAAGTAAAACACGTGAATAGCGTAAAATTTCCGATTTTTTTTTACTTATTTAAGAATAAGTAAAAGATGTAGTCATTCTCATTTTCCACTGGAACAACCCTTTTTAATGGAGTCGCACTATATATCTATTGATTAATTTTTAGTTTTTACTCGTTTTTATTTTATCCTTATAAAAAATTATTTTGTAAAAAAATTATTCTTTCTAACCATATATTACAGCACCCTCGAATTTATCTCTAGTTCCGCCACTGCAACCGGCTGAGAATATTGTAAAGAAATCTAAGACCCCGGCAATATACTACGTCCCTCGTAGTTAGAATTAGAATAAATGCTCATCCGCGGTGACGCTAACGCCTTCTCTGGTTTTGCTCCAAATTATCATGTAAATTCTTATTACTATACTAACCCTTCGTCCTCTTCTATATAGCAGTGTGATCAGTCATAAGTTTATGGAAGATTATTAATTAACTAACATGGAAGAATCATTGTATTTGCTAAATTAGGATCATGGTCTATATTCACATTTAACTAACCGGTGGATTATTCCCTCCCACTCCGAATATATTATTTTTTTCAGTTGCTGAAGATTCTGGACGAGGGAGTGCAGACAGAGGGAAAACGGCCCAGAGATGCAGTTTTTTCTACAGCTACCAGTTTTGATTTTGGTGCTTGATGGAAAGTTAAACTACCAAAATTTGACACGCAGTTCCTGACTTCCCAATCTTCATATCCAACGGCTGGATTTTCGTTGCAAGCTTCATAAGTAGGTATTGTGTGTTCAGCTCTAGCTAATCTTGAAAAGTGTTGGGTTCATCACTTATGAGTCATGTTTATGGTGATCCGTTGTTCCTGGGGTGCTCCTTATTGTTTGTATGTGCTCTAGTATTATCTAGAGAAGCCATTTGGAGCCCGTCTCGCGGTCTTATCTCCTGCTTATCAGTTTATCAACCAACATTTTTACCATACACGTAATTTTTTATTTCGCACATTGAATTGTGTAATACTACATAATTGAAATAAGTAAGGTTAGAGTTACTTTTCTGACTGAAGTTACAGGAGAAGACTATTTTAGCTACTTTTCATATATTTAAAATATATTTTAAACATTATTCTTGCATAATTTAGCAAATTCAGCCATTTCAGTCACAAATTCATGAACTTTAGCAATCAATTCAGCCAATTTTAGTGTTACCAAATGGTCTCTTCATGTACTTGCTTATTTCAGTGGTGATAAGTAGAAGTGTTTGGTACTGGTTTCGAGTCCTTATTTTCTGCCATTTTGAGGTATCCACGTAAATTGGTCTGTTATTTATTGTTTGTGCACGGATCATATTTTGGTTAGTTTGTTTTGAATATATATATTATGTTGAGATTTATATTATTTGCCTGTTTGATAACCTTTAGAAAAGTGTGTATTTCCCGTCTCACTAATTCAAGATACAAAGCACATTTTACACTTCTAGGGTCTGTTAATTGATCTTTGATGGAAAATTGTGCAAAAGTCCATCACTTAATGGCAAGAAGAATTGTTTTAAATTACACCATAGCAAGGTTTGTTTTTTTGGCAGTGGACATAGATGTTGGAGCTACTATCGGTGATAGTTCTGCTTATACAGAAAGGAAATCATCTTCTTGTGAAGAAGACAATACATTTCAAGTGCCATATGTGGGAATGGTGTTTGATTCTGAATATGCTGCCAGGGAATTTTATGGCAAGTATGCTAGGCGTTCTGGATTTCGAATGCGTATTGATCAGTCTGGGCGCTCGTCAGTGGACATGAGAATTCTTTCGAGGAGGTTTTCTTGTAATAAGCAGGGTTATTGTCAGACAAAGAAATATCAGGTTTGTTCAGGAAAGAGGTTAAGGAGCAGTACACGAGAAGGTTGCAAAGCAATGATGCGGGTAAATGTTAATAAGGCTGGAAAATGGGTTGTTACCAGATCAGTGAATGAGCATACTCATCCTTTGGATGTCCCTAGTCTTTCTTCTCTTAATGGAATGGTAAGTTTACTTCTGCTTTTCCCTTTTAAATACATATCTCCCCCATAAACTTCTCTATCAAGAATGGTATGATCCTGATTGTGAATCCAATTATGGCCCCTTCAGTAAGATGTCTTTAACTGAAATGGCTGAATTGTCTGAATGAAATAGTGTTTATTAACATCCATTTGACCAAGAAAAAATGCAAATAAAAAACTGGGTGATAAGCCGAAGTTTACTACGGAGTACTAAACGGATCCTTATTTAATTCTTGAATAGTTATTTCAGTATACTACTCAATCATAAGTCATAACATCTCTTGGAAATCAATTAGTTCTTCAAGTTGTAGCTTTGTTTTTTTACTGGTACTGGGGTATTGGGGGAAGCAAAGCTATCGCCTTATTGCTCAAGTGCTTCTTGATCACTAAGCATTTTTGCTCTTATAATCATTAAGTTTATGTAGAATAAAGGAATCAAAATCTTTATTGTATTTGTTCATTACCAACTTAGCTTCAAATAAATCTAACTAAAGTGATTATTTTCCGTATTTGTAATAAAAAAACATTGCAGGACAAAAAAGATCAAAGGATAGAGGAACTGATGACTATGGAGTTGGACCATCAGGATAAGCTTTGCGAGTTGTACAGAGGCCAGCTAACTACATTGTTGAAGTATATTGGGGAGCAGATTGAGCATTTAACTGGAAAAGGTGACGCAGTTGCTGACAATGTAAAGAGAGTTGAAAGTGATAAGCTTGAGCTACCTACTCAATAATCCAAAGTGTGTATATATAACAAATACGGAGTAACAAATAAGAATTTGGTTCAAATGGGAATATGATCTCAGGAGAGACAAATAAGAATTTGCTTCACATGAGAATATGATTGAGAAATGAAAAATGCAGTGACATTTTTGTAAATAAAGTGAACTTTGTATGTTATTGGGTAAAATGCGATTAACTTAATTAGAAATATGCACCGTTTTGCATGATTATCAGTTTTCACGGGAAGAACTTTTCTCACCAGAACCAGACTTTAAAAAACAATTGGTAGACCAATGCCTCAGTGGTAACTCATCATCACCTACACTAGGGTAAGAAGGGGTCGGATGTATGCAATCTTACCCCTTTTTAGCATAGAGAGAGTGTTTCTGAATGGCTCATGGTGAAAATTGCGTCAAAAATTGGATGAATTGACTGCTGCTTCATAACAAAGAAGTGCAGCCAGTTTAGTAAGTCATTTTGCTTTATTCCATCATATTCCCAAGCCAAAAAAAATAGTAATTTGCTAGTCTGGTCTGGTCTGAACTGGTCTGGTCTGGTATGGTCTGGTAAGGTCTAGCTTCTTTGTATTTTTATAACTATCCAAGTCTGGTCTGGTCTGGTCTGAACTGGTCTGGTCTGGACTGGTCTGGTCTGGGACAAATTACAGTCCAAGTAAAAACATCCTAAACATGAGAGTAGTGATGGACCCGGGCCAGGCTGGGGCCGGGTCAGGCCTAGGCCCGAGCGGGCCGGCGGTTCAGGATTGGTGGACCCGGGACCGGCCCGGGTAGCCACCTGACCAGGTCCGGACCGAGTCTAGGCCATTTTTTTTTTTTTGCTTTCCTAAACCCCCTCACCCCCCCCCCCCCAAACCCCCCAAAGTCCCAAACCTCTCCTAACCATCAAGCCCAACCCGGGTGGAACCCCAAAAAATTAAAAATTAAAAAAAAAAAAAAATCAATTTGGCCCGGACCCGGGCCCAACCCGGCCGGGCCGGTTCGCCAAATGTGAGACCCGAGCCCGGACCCGCCCCCCCGGGGCTAGGCCCGACCCGGACCCGGACCCGGACCCGAGAACCGGGCTAGTCCCGGTCCCGCACAGTAGCGGGCCGGGCCGGGTGGCCCGACCCGAGTCCACCACTACATGAGAGTTATAACAAGTAACAACAAAACTAATTAGAGGAGCGTACTACGTATAGGTTGATAATTCCATGGTTGAGTTTTACGTTGACGCAAAACTTTCCTTTCTTGGAGTCTGATAATTCTGATTAGCACATGGTTCACCACGTTTAACTTAAACATATTCTTTACTACCCCATCCCTAAAAGAGCGTTATGGTTATAGCAACGTATCAATTGCCATAGATCATATTTTCGACTCATATTTTACGAATGTTTACAATCTTTTTTTCTTCCTCAAGTGCTAGCTCCATCGCTTAGCAAAAGTTAGTTATCTTAAGATGATCCTAATCGTATATTACTGGGTTGTTTCGTTTTGTTTAATGCATTTTCGTTGTTGTTTATGTGCACTTATTATTTTTATTTCCGCTTGAATAATTGAGGCATATTGACTTTGCACAATTGCACCACCTATATACGTTGGTTTCTTTGTTTTTGCACCTCGGATGAGGTACAAAGTGAAATCCCACGATAAATGTGATGCAAATATGAATTACACTTCACAACTCATGTTTACTTTAATATTTCAGTTTGCACCCCATTTAGGGATTAAAGTTAAACAGAACAAAACATGGATGCAAAATCAAATTGTGAGATAGCCCATCCGGTGGTTTGCTAAGTTTATTTGAATTACTGATAACTGATCAATGAGTTTGTGGATGTGATCAATGAGTATGTAATTTAATTCCCTTGTTCAATTTCTCGAAGGTTATTCACTTAAATTCTTTTTTTATAGAAAATTTACTTAAATTCACTGCGGGACATATGGTTTCCCCCAATTCTGTCTGTCATAGGATTGATGTTTTCCTTAAACAAATGTTACGTTAAGTTAGATAATGGGTAACAACTGTTTTAGCCAAATAAATACGAAGTAAGTCAATAGCTACTTAGAAATTTTTATATTCATCTTATTCTTATTTAATCTAATAATCCGAGTATCATACTAGTTTGATAGAACTCATTCAAACATAAGATCATAGAAGAGACATGACATATTTCGTATTAATACTACGTATATGGTTAAGCCAAAAGTAAATACTCAAATCAAATTAAACAAGAAAACACATGACCTATTTAAAAAAACTCGTATAAAATTATATATTGCGAGCCAAAAGTATCAAGCTCTTAGTGTTTATTTGGTCGCAATTTTTTTTGACTTTCTTACCAATTCCTTTTTTACTTTCTCACCTCATAATGAATTACGGAGTATATAATTGTCCGTGTTGAATTAGTTATTAAAGAAAAAGTGGGCTTGTAGCCTTATAAACTGAGGCAGATGCAAATATGCAATGGCGGACACAAAGTCACAAAGGGGGGCAAGTGGGGATGGCAATTCAAACATTTTTTAGTAGGTATGATTACTTCAAAATTTTAATCTATATGTACTTTTATCTATTACGTACGAGTAGTATTTTACACTACCGCCTCTCCATTCGGAAATTATCGTCTTCCACAGGCCAGATCCAATCTCATTCAAAATTACTCATATGATGAGTACTCTCTATCCACTCTCAAAATCGAAAGGGATGTAAATTACTCAACTAAGGCCTCATCCTTGAGAACCCCCTAGTGTGAAATAATGGGAAAGGTTACCCCAATAGGGTACCTGGCAGATATATTTATACTAATAAAAGTTTCCAAAGATACAAAGGATTCCTAATTTAATATTAGGCTATTACACCCCCTCAAACTGTGCGGGAGATACAACGCGCAGGTTGTCTTTTAAAAAATGAAATTGCTGACTAGAGAGACTTTTAGTAAATATATCTGCTAACTGTAGACTGGTAGGAACATATTTAACAACAAGATCACCATGGGCCACACGTTCACGAACAAAGTGATAATCGATCTGGATGTGCTTACTTCGAGCATGCTGAACAGGATTGGCTGTCAAGTAGGAAGCAGAGATATTGTCAAGTATCTGGATACCACAGAGCTTCATTAGCTTGACCGGTGAGAAGAACAGGTGCAGTGGGTGGAGAAAAACGAGACGGACAGCGGATTGCAGAGTGACCTGCAGAGAAACAAATTTGACACACAACGGGTGGAGGAATTGCCCCAAGAATTCCCTCAGTAGATGGAGAGCCTGCAGACTTGACATTAGTACCACAAAATGATAAAGCATTGGTATTTAAAGTGGACAAAACAGAATTACATATACCATCGGCATTCGGAGATCTCAGGTGTTGTTGCGCTCCAGGCTGTGGACCGAAGCCATGTTGCTGCTGCTGTCCCTGGCCGAACACCTGCTGCCCATGTCCCAGATGTTGCTGATCATGGCCGTAGGGTTGCTGGCCGGATTGGTTAGGCCCGCGGCCCCTGCCGCGACCTGTTCTGCCGCGGCCGCCTCTGCCGCGGCCACCGCGGCCACCTCGTTGTGCTGCACCTCGTTCTTGAACTCCAAAGGCTTGGTATGCAGGGGGAGCGGTTTGTTGACGAAGATAAAGAACCCTCTGTTCAGCTTCTAACAGACTCCGGTGAAGAATATCTGGTGGAAAATTGTCAGGAAAAAGGGAAATAGTGCCCATAGTGGATTCATACTCAGGCCCGAGCCCCATAAGAGTGGTCTGAAGCACTTCCTTATGAGACATAGGGGAATTTATTGCAGCCAGTTCACCAACTCGGACATGAATTTCCCTTAAGTAACTTTCCATAGACTGATTTTCCTTCTTTTTGGTATTAGACAACTGGCGTTTAAGAGTCATAGACCTAGCCAAACTAGCAGATCGAAATCTATTTTGCAATCTTTCCCAAATCTCAAAAGAATGTTTAAGTTCATGTACATCAATTAATACATCACGAGTAAGGGTAGCAAAAATCCAAGAACGAATAGTTTGATCAACCCGGAGCCAATGATAATAGTCCGTATTAATGATTTGGTGATTATTAAAATCAACCGTGTACATTGGAGGTACCTGTGTGGAACCATCCACGAAGTTAAACACCCCCTGAGAGACTAGGAAAGATTCAATCTGAGTACGCCATGTGATGTAGTCTTCTACCGCCTTGAGTTTGATTGTAACAATTTGAGTTACATTATTTGCCGGAGCGATGGATTGAGCGGCAGCGGCCATCGGAGATTGAAAAAGAGAAGTATCCATCGGCCGAGATAAGCCAGGAGTACCCGAGAATGTAGAGCCAAAGTATCCTGGACTGATGTGTGCCGGTTGCGGGGCAGAGACCATCGGGGTCGAGTAGAGGCTGTCTGTGTTTGGTAAGGCAGTCGGCTGCCATGGGAACACCGGAGGTATTGTCCGAAACAAGGAATATGCTCCATCGGTACAGAATGGGGAGGAAGCAATGTTGACAACCGAATTGGCTTGAGATGGAGGCACCTGCTGCGGCGCAGTCATAGTGACTGGGGCGCTGGTGATGACGACGGCCGCGTCGGTAAAGGAAGAAGGAACCGGCGCCGTGGTCGAGGATGTAGGAGCAACGGTGAAGGCGTCCATGGAGGAGCAAGAGACTTCGGCGGAGGAGGAGTCTGCGGCCGAGCTCATAGCGTGAATGATCGAGGGTTTAGAGGAGAGAGAAAAAAAATTTTAGGCTCTTGATACCATGTGAAATAATGGGAAAGGTTACCCCAATAGGGTACCTGGCAGATATATTTATACTAATAAAAGTTTCCAAAGATACAAAGGATTCCTAATTTAATATTAGGCTATTACCTAGCACCAGCCCAACAAATAGTTGAAGTGATGTAAATTGATCTTGAATTACAAGCTGACAGATAGCGAGAAAGACTATGTCTAGAAAGATACATGTCTAGAACTACTATCATAACTATTTGCACTTTTGAAAGATACAAATTAGAAGCCGTTTGGTAACATTGTTTTTCGACTTATCGGGCTTATCAGCCAACTTTTTCACCAAACACGTCATATTTGCTTGCACGAGCTGAATTGTGTAATAAGCAGAAAAAGTAAGGTTGGAGTTACTTTTCTGGCTATATTGGCTAAAGTTACTGTATATGACTATTTTAGGTATTTTTACATATAATTTTTTCTTTATTTTATTAATAAAATATATTTTAAAAATAATTTTTTCTTAA